TGCTTTTTTTTCTTTTTGCCTCTAAAATGGGACAATAATACTCATCTTAAAGCACATTTAGAGGTCGGCATGCATTGGTATATGGAAAATACCTGTCATAAAGTAGGCATGCCATATAAACTTGCCCATATTTCACAGACTGGATCATAGCTATCTGTGTTCATATCTTACCCATGGGCTACCTCCCTCTCCTCCAGGCAGAGACTTCTCATAATTCTTTCCTGCTTCCAGATGAGCTATTTCAAATCCTAAAAGATGATGCTGTGAAAGTGCCACACTCAATATGCCAGCAAATTTGGATAACTCAGCAGTGACCACAGGACTGGAGAAGGTCAGTTTTCATTCCAATCCCAAAGAACAGCAATGCCAAAGAATGTTCAAACTACCACAATGTTCAAATTACACTCATCTCACATGCTAGCAAAGTAATGCTCAAAGTTCTCCAAGCGCAGCTTCAACAGTATGTGACCTGAGAACTTCCAGATGCACAAGCTAGATTTAGAAAAGACAGAGGAACCAGAGATCAAATTGCCAATATCCGTTGTATCGCAGAAAAAGCAACAGAATTCCAGAAGAACATCTACTTCTGCGTCATTGACTACTCTAATGCCTTTGATGGTGTGGATCACAACAAACTGTGGAAAATTCTTCAAGAGATGGGAATACCAGACCACATTACCTGCCTCCTGAGAAATCTGTATGCAGGTCAAGAAGCAACAGTTAGAACTGGACATGGAACAACAGACTGGTTCAAAATTGGGAAAGGAGTATGTAAAGGGTATATATTGTCACCCTGCTTATTTAACTTATATGCAGAGTACATCATGAAAAATGCTGAACTGAATGAAACACAAGCTGGAATCAAGATTGCAGGGAGAAATATCAATAACCTCAGATATGCAGATGATACCACCCTTATGGCCAAAAGCAAAGAGGAACTAAAGAGCCTCTTGACGAAAGTGAAAGAGGAGAGTGGAAAAAGCTGGCTTAAAACTCAACATTCAGAAAGCTAAGATCATGGCATCCAGTCCCGTCACTTCATGGCACATAGATGGGGAAACAATGGAAACAGTGAGAGACTTTATTTTCTTGGGCTCCAAAATCACTGCAGATGGTGACTGCAGCCATGAAATTAAAAGATGCTTGCTCTTTGGAAGAAAAGCTATGACCAACCTAGACAGCATATTAAAAAGTAGAGACATTACTATGCTGACAAAGGTCCATCTAGTCAAAGCTATGGTTTTCCTAACAATAGTCATGTATGGATGTGAGAGTTGGACCATAAAGAAGGCTGAGCACTAAAGAATTAATGCTTTTGAACTGTAGTGTTGGAGAAAACTCTCGAGAGTCCCTTGACTGCAAGGAGATCAAACCAGTCAATCCTAAAGGAAAGCAACCCTGAAATTCATTGGAAGGACTGATGCTGACGCTGAAACTCCAATACTTTGGCCACCTGATGCGAAGAACTGACTCACTGGAAAGACCCTGATGCTGGGAAAGACTGAAGGCAGGAGGAGAAAGGGACGACAGAGGATGAGTTGGTTGGATGGCATCACTGACTCGATGGACACGAGTTTGAGCAAGCTTCGGGAGTTGGTGATGGACATGGAGGCCTGACGTGCTGCAGTCCATGAGGTCGCAAAGAGTCGGACACGACTGAGCAGCTGAACTGAAGTGCTTATTAGTATAGTGCCTATTGGCACAAAACAGGCAAGATAAGTACAGGAAAAGAAAGTATGAAAGCATGAGTCACTGGCCGCCGCTTACCCTCCTGGGTCGAGAAGCTAAAACTGCGCAACCAAACAGAAAGAGACCGAGGCCTTGTCCGGACCAATCGAAGCCCGTCCTCTGGGGGCCCGCCCCATTTCGAACCCTAGTACCTGGTCTCGGAATTGACCAATCAGCGTTGAATCCCGCCCCAATGTTGAAACTGCCGCTTCTGATGAGAAGTAACGCTTCCAGGAGCGTCCGGCTCCGCCCCACGTCTGGCCAATCAGGGCGCCCGAATCAGGCTCCGCCCCCAGTTGGTGACGCGTTGGGTGGGCCTGGCGGAACTCTAGGCAGCGCTGGATGCGGCAGGCAGCTTGATTCCCCGACTTCCCAGCGGTGAGTGCGGAAGTGGCGGGCCCCCGGGTTGGAGAGGAGTGGTTCGACGGATTGTTCCACGTGCAGTTCCACGGAGCGTCCGGGTCCCGCGATGGGAAAGAAGAGGGAGGCCGAGTCTCCCATTCCCGAGGGGGGGACGTCCCGCCCCTGCGTTCCGCTGCACTGCCGCTGCCCCAGTGTGTGTCTCCTTTGAACGTTGCCTTCCCGTCACCTTGGCGCAGCTTTGGCTTTCCAGAGCGCCATCAGAGCCGGAGGTTTTCTCTCTTTAACGATGTGAGAGAACGGAGGCCCAAAGTCTTTCAGTCAGATGGGGGCGGGAACCGGGATCAGGCTGTCTTCCCCACTTGTTTGCACTTCCCACCCCTGTACTCGCATCTCCACTGTCCTCCCTTCCCTGCGTGGGTGTATGTGAGAGGGCGGGTCTCTCTGCTTTAGCCCTTGCAGCCGGGCCTTGAGGAGGGGGCCCCCCCGATATGGGTGGTCCACAGGTGAGGAGTGTGGGTGGAAGGACTGGGGTCAGGGCAGGGTTTCTGAGAGCAGGGTGTCTGACTGGACCCAGTGTTAGAAAAGGATCATGTGTACTGGAGGAGACTGAATTTCTAGTTGGAGGAATCTGGGCTTGGAGCTCAAGAGAGAAGATGAAGCCTCTTCCCCTAAGGGCAGAAATCTCTTCCAGAGGCATCAGTGTGTCCTTGAGCCCAGATCCCTGGGGGGCCAGATACCTGGGGGGCTGGAGAATGAGGAGGTGGCTTCCTAGGCCCCCCTCCACACTGTTTGGGGAAAGGTTGTCATAACCATGGACCCTGGAGCCAGATTTGGGTTCAAATCCTGGCTATGCCACTACAAGCAGTGTCACTTGGGGCTAGTATTTTAATTTCTCTGAACTTCTTCATTTGTTTAAAAAAACAGAGAAGGGAGGGCAGGAGAGGAGGAGTCCCTTCAGAAATTTGATTTGTGTTGAATTTGAAACTTATAATGTTTTACATTTGTAGACTTGCCCTAATTGTCCACTACAAATTAAGGTGTTGTTCAGTCACTCATTCATGTCCAACTCTTTGTGACCCCATGGACTGCAGCACGCTAGGTTTTCCTGTCCTTCACCATCTCCCAAAGTGCTCAAACTCATGTCCATAGAGACGGTAATGCCATCCAACCACCTTATCCTTCTCCTGCCTTCAGTCTTTCCAAGCATCAGGGCCTTTTCCAGTGAGTCGGCTCTTCACATCAGGTGGCCAAAGTATTGGAGCTTCAGCATCAGTCCTTCCAATGAATATTCAGGGTTGTTTCTACAAATTAAACTAGTCATAATTTCATAGTTGAGGTTGTTAAAGGGGAGAGATTAATCTCTTTTGACATGTCAGGAAACATGCTCTGGCTAGTTTAACAATAAGCATTTATTGAGTGCTCATTGTGTGTGCCAGGTATTATACTAAGGTTTTTTTTTTTTTTTCGATTTTTTTTTTTTTATTAGTTGGAGGCTAATTACTTCACAATATTGTAGTGGTTTTTGTCATACATTGACATGAATCAGCCATGGATATACATGTATTCCCCATCCCGATCTCCCCTCCCACCTCCCCCTCTACCCTATCCCTCTGGGTCTTCCCAGTGCACCAGGTCCGAGCACTTGTCTCATGCATCCAACCTGGGCTGGTGATCTGTTTCACCCTAGATAATATACATGTTACGATGCTGTTCTCTTGAAACATCCCACCCTCGCCTTCTCCCACAGAGTCCAAAAGTCTGTTCTATACATCTGAGTCTCTTTTTCTGTTTTGCATATAGGGTTATCATTACCATCTTTCTAAATTCCATATATATGTGTTAGTATACTGTAATGGTCTTTATCTTTCTGGCTTACTTCGTTCTGTATAATGGGCTCCAGTTTCATCCATCTCATTAGAACTGATTCAAATGAATTCTTTTTAATGGCTGAGTAATATTCCATGGTGTATATGTACCACAACTTCCTTATCCATTCGTCTGCTGATGGGCATCTAGGTTGCTTCCATGTCCTGGCTATGATAAACAGTGCTGCGATGAACATTGGGGTGCACGTGTCTCTTTCAGATCTGGTTTCCTCGGTGTGTATGCCCAGAAGTAGGATTGCTGGGTCATATGGCAGTTCTATTTCCAGTTTTTTAAGAAATCTCCACACTGTTCTCCATAGCGGCTGTACTAGTTTGCGTTCCCACCAACAGTGTAAGAGGGTTCCCTTTTCTCCACACCCTCTCCAGCATTTATTGCTTGTAGACTTTTGGATAGCAGCCATCCTGACTGGCGTGTAATGGTACCTCATTGTGGTTTTGATTTGCATTTCTCTGATAATGAATGATGTTGAGCATCTTTTCATGTGTTTTTTTGCCATCTGTATGTCTTCCTTGGAGAAATGTCTGTTTAGTTCTTTGGCCCATTTTTTGATTGGGTCATTTATTTTTCTGGAGTTGAGCTGGAGGAGTTGCTTGTATATTTTTGAGGTTAATCCTAGGTTTTTTTTTTAATTAAAAAATATTTTGGCGGGTCTGACAGTGGCATCTGAGTTCTCTCACCAGGGATCGAACCCATCCGTGCCCCCTTGCATTGGAAGTGTGGAGTCTTAACCACTGGACCACCAGATATAATATGCATTACCTCCTTTAGTCCTTACAACAGTTTTATGAGGTTGATGCCATTATCTGTTTGGCAGATGAGGAAACTGAGGCACAGAGAGGTTAATTAACTTGCCCGAGGTTTCCCAGTTAGGGAATATCAGAGTGGTGATTTGACTCTCTGGCTCCGAAGGGCAACCTCCTCATTGCTGTCATGCTCTCTGTCTTGGCTTCAGGTAGAAGAACCCAGCCCCGAGGGCAGTCTGTGGTCCAGGAGTCGGTGACATCTGTTGGGGAAAGCCCAGGATGGTGGAGACCAGGGACCTAGTGCAGCTGCGGCAGCTCAACCTGGAGCTCCTGAGGCAACTGTGGGTCGGGCAGGATGCCGTGCGGCGGTCCGTGGCCAAGGCAGCCTCAGAGGTAAGCACCTTGGCCAAGTCCCTGGGGTGAGAGAGGAGCTGCCTAACCCTCAGGCCAGAATCAAGGCCTTCCAGGTCCTCTTACGCAGTGCGCCCATTTTACTGATGATGAGAAAACTGAGTGAGGCCCAGCGTGGGAAGGTATGGCAGAGGCTGAGCAAGGATGAGGAGTTGGCCTTCATGCCTAATGCAAGCAAGCTGGGTGGATGGCTGCTGACCCAGCCTCTCTGTTCCAGTCAAGCCTGGGCTCAAGCAGCAGCCATGACTCAGAGATGCCATCGTCCCAAGAGATGTCCTCAGTTTCCTCGAGAGCCTCCTGCCCACAAGATGCCCGCCCTGGTGACCCCTGTGATAGGTACTGGCCTGGCGAAGCCAGCTCTGGGATGAATACTCTCCCACCTGCCAAATGCCTACACCAGGAGTCCCTGGGCCCTCCAAGGCCCCATTCAGCTCCCTTACTGGCCATCTCAGACTCAAGTGACTCAGAGCTTTCAGCAGAGCTGGACAGTCCAGGAACCCAGGAGACCCAGGCCCTGAGGTCCATCTTGGCTCAACAGGGCAAGTTGTCTAAGGTAATGTGGGAGAGTGGGGCAGCCATTGATGGGGCTTCCTCGAACCTCAATTTCCCCTCTGACAGATGCACTCACAGGTAACCTCCCTTCCAGGGTGAGAGGCTCTTGGGAGGTGCTATGAGTCGTGTCCTGCTTGGCCTGAGTGCTTGATAAGTTGTGGCCGTTAGTTTTTCAGAGAGCACTTTGGGAAGAAGGTGACCAGCCCCATTGTGCAGATGGGAAGACCGAGGTTCAGAGGACAGACTTGTTCACAGTCACACGTGGTGGGGGGAGTGGGGGGGTCAAACTCTTGTCCTCCAGCCCCCAAGTCCTCAGCTGAGCCCTGGGCCCTACGTCAGGGTGTAAGTTAAAAGACATAGCCCCTTTCCTCCCGTCAAGGTGGGGCCTCCTTTGGGCTGGGCCTGTTAGCACAACCTTGCCCCTCTTTGCCTCCCTCCTCAGCCAAGAGTGACCAACAAGGAGTCTCCAGTGCCTGAGAAGAGCTGGCGCCTGAGACCCTACCTGGGCTATGACTGGATTGCAGGTGTGGCCCTCCCTAGGGCCTAGAGATTGGGGGTGGGGGGCCCTAGCTTGCTTGTGCACCTGCCTGAGCCCCCACCAGGTGGGAGAATCTTCAGTACCACGTCTTCTGCCTCGGCCCTTGGCACAGTGAAAAGCACAGAGACGGTGTTCGCCTAGTGTTTGTTGAATAAATGAGAGCTGCCTTATTTTTTTTGGCATTTATTGTGTGCCAGGCCCTGGGAAACTGTATGTGTATCATCTCTTTACGTTTTCCCCGACTCCCCCAGCAACCTCAGTTGCCTCCTGGATGAATGGCCTCTGGCCTCTTTCCAACCCCATTATCATCCATTTTTGACTCAACAGCCAGAATGAATTTTGAAACCTGGGCATCAGATCACGTCATTCAGAATACTTGGCACTTAGTGTGTACGCTAAGTCACTTCAGTTGTGTCTCACTCTTTGCGACCCCATGTAGCCCGCCAGGCTCCTCTGTGCATGGGATTCGCCAGGCAAGAATACTGGAATGGGTTGCCATGCCCTCCTCCAGGGGATCTTCCCAACCCAGTGATCAAATCCAGGTCTCTTACGTCTCCTGCATTGGGCAGGTGGATTCTTTACCACTAGCACCACCTAGGAAGCTAGCACTTAGAGTAAAATCCAAAATCCTTATCTAGACTTCTGAGCTATGATCTGGCTCGGTGACATAACCTCTGACCATCTATCTTCTGACTCTTCGCTCCAGCCTCGTTGGCCTCCTTGCTGATCCTTGAACCAGCTGTGTGCTCATGGCCACCTGCCTTTGCACTTGCTGTTTGCTTTGCTTTAGCGGTGTTGTGCAGCAGGTGGGATCTTAGTTCCCCAACCAGGGATTGAACCCATGCCCCCTGCATTGGAAGCATGGAGCCTTAACCACTGGACTGCTCTGCAAGTTCCTCTTCCCTTTGCTTTGAATGCACTTCCCCAGATTCACACCTGCTGGTTCCTTTTCATCACTGAGCACTCAGTTCAAATGGCAGGCACCTTGCACGAGCACAAGGTCGTAGGACCGCTGCCTCTGAATCCTTGCCTGTTGCATCAGCTACTGTTGTGTTCTTCATTCATTCATTCTCAGAAATCATCTTGTTTGCTTGTTTCTTGTCTGGCTCATGAGCTCCGTTGGAGCAAGGGCCTGGCTGTCTTTTCATTGCTGTGTTCCGTGAACCTAGAATAGGGCCCGGCACACCACAGGTCCTTAGCCAACACTGGTTGAAGGAGTGAGTGGACAATCTTCAGAGCTTGGGCTGTTGGATCCTCACTTTCATGAAGGAGGAAACTGACGCACGGATAGGCTGAGTTCCTGCCAAGGCAGGGGCTCTGTGTGGCTGCTGGGCCCCTGTGGAGGTGGGGACATAATCCCTGTCTGCCAGCTCACTGCCTTGCTTCTTGTCCCTGGGAAAGCGGAGGTGCCTGCCTGTTTCTGCCCTGTGTCCGTGTGCACCTCTCTCCTCCTTTCTGAGCTCCTGTCTGCAGCCTGTCTGTGCATTTGTGTGCTTGGCCCCTTTCCTTCTTGATTCCCAAAGCTCTTGCTTCCTGTAATTCTCTCCTGTCCTCCCTCCACCGTGATTCTGCTCCGTCAGCATATGAACACTGGGAAGTATTAATGAGAACTGATTTCATGGAGCGCTTGTCCTGTGCTGGGCCCTGTTCCAAGAGCTTTCCTACCATTAACTTCTTGACTCTTCACAATCATCTGATCAGGTGGGTAGTATTACTGTCCCCATTGATAGATGAGAAGGCTGAGGGCCAAGAGACTGAAAAGCTTAGCAAAGTCTCACATCCGGTTGGGGTAAAGCTGGGAGTATTAATGAGAACTGATTAAGTCTGTGACTTCCCCTCCTGTTTCTAGTTAACACCCGTTTTCTCTGCTTTTCTTTATCATGAAACTCTAAAGGCCATCTTGATTCTCCATCTCCAGTTTCTCTCCCTGACTTTTTCTTAAAATCAGGCTTTAGTCCTTGACACCACCCCAGGTTAGCTGTGACCACTGTGTTACCAGCTCCCAGCTGAGTTCAGTCCACACACTTTTTGGCCCCTGAGTAGCATAGACACAGCGGCCACTCCCCCTTTCCTCCCTGAAGCTCTTTCTTCCCTTGGCTTCCAAAGCTGGGCACCCCCCTAGCTCTTCCCCACTTCCCTGGCAGCTCCATCCAGTTTCCTCTGCCAGATCTGCTTCCTTGTTCCAACCTCCAAACTCCCTAGGCCCCATCAGTGTTAAGACTCTCCTCACCCTCTTCTCACCCACTTAACCCATGCTGCTCCTCTGAATTCCAGACTTGTGTATCTGACTTTCTTCTCTGCCTGGCTCACTAGGTGTCCTGGACTAATCTCAGGTCCAAAATCAAGGTCCTGACTTCCACAGCTTTTGGTCCACCCTCCCGCAGTGTTTCCTATGTCTATTGGCGGCAGCTCTGTTCATGGTGCTAATGGCCATAATCTGGAGATCAGCCTTGACTTTTCCTCTCCTTTCCATACATACATCCTGGTAGCCCTGCCTTCAACATATTTCTAGAATTCACCGTCTTATCTCCACCAGGATGCCTGCAGTAGTCCCCTAACTGCTATGCCTGCTTCCTCTCACCTTGCTGCAGCAAGAAGAGGAGTACTCTAAAAGCACATGGCTGATGTGATCGTATCACTCCTTGTCCCCAAACCCATCAGCGGTTTCCCAGTCACATCTCCTCCACTCTCACCGCTCTGCCCATTTCACCTCCTGAGTGTAACTCCAGTGTACCAGCACACACCTGCCCCAGGGCCTTCGCATATGCTCTTCTGTCTGCCTGGGATGTCCCCATGGCTCCCTCCCTCCCTCATCAGGTCTCTACTCAGGTGTCACATCCTCAGGGAAGCTCCCTCTGGCCCCTCTGCCCTCCAGGCTCAGTTTCCTGACTCTCTTTCTCTCTTACTTCCTGATAGGTGTCACCTTTCCCCATTGTATCCCAGGTTTCTTTAGCGACTGGTTTGTGGCCACATTAGAATGTAAGCCTCAAAAGGGCGGGGGCTTTGTCTAGGTTGCTGTTCTTTCCCCAGCACATGAGACAGTGTCTGGCTTGTAGCAGGCGCTCTATAGATACTTTTTGCACAGACGACTGGGTATGCATATGTCTCGTGAATTGAGGGACCCCTCCAGATCTGTACGCGACTCAGTGGCCTGGGGTGCCAGTGCTGAGCACCCCTTGAGTCTTGGCCACACAGCAGCTCCTTGTGCGTTGTCCCCCCAGGGTCCCTGGACAACACCTTTCCTGTCACCAGCAAGCCTGAGGCCTTCTTCTCGAAGCTGCAGAAGTTCCGGGAAGCCAACAAGGAGGAGTGTATTTGCAGTGACCCTGAGTGAGCAGGGGCAGGCACACGGTGGGCAGGGAGGCTCAGGCTGGCTTGCCCTCTCGCCCTGTCCTGCTCACCCTCTCACCCTCACAGACCCCGGTTCCTAGGCCTGCAGGAAGGTGATGCTGTGGAGGGGAACCACGAATGTGAGTGTAAACACTTGGTTACCCCAGAGCCCAGCCAAGGCCTGGGGGCCTGGGGAGGCAGCTGAGTGTTGAGGACTCAGGCAAGGAGCCTGGTGTCCCAACAGGGGGTGGTGAGCCCTAGGTAGGGGGTGGGGGTGAGCTGAGGCCTGGCCTCATGGGGAGTGGGGCCAGCCCTGTGCACTCACTGCCAGCCTTCCCAGCTGCCGTGTTTCCCACATGCCCCCCACCCCCTTCCTCTCCTCTCTGCATGTGGGTCATCTGAGGTGGGGGGGTTCCGGCTCAGTTACGTGAGCATCTGAGTCTATATTGTGGGTTTGTATGTGCAGCATACAGTGTTTGTATCCATGTACGTACCTGTGTGTGTGAGGCGTGTTCATGTGGACATACATGTGTGTGCACTGCGTGTATGTGATTACAAGTATAAACACACCGTATATGTCCACAAATGTGACTATATGAAGCAGTGCTCTGTGTTTGCACAGATGACATTTTAATGTATGAAGATGCCAGCACGTGTGCACGTGTGTGTCATGCTTGAGTAGAAAGCGGTGCTCGGCATGGTTCTGTGTGAGCACGTGTATGTGTGCACGCTTCGTGTACACGTGGGCAGGTCTGTGGATGTGGCCACTGGGGTTGTGCAGGGGTCGGTGGGCCTCTTGGAGTCCAGGGGGTCTAGGTTCCCCAGCTGAGGAGGGACTTCCGCTCCTCTCGGGTCTCACAGGTGTGTACTGTTACCGTGTCAACCGGCGCCTGTTTCTGGTACCTGCGGACCCTGGCACCCCCTGCCGCCTCTGCAGGAAGCCACGGGACCAGCGGGGTGCAGGGACCCTGGCGGAGCCAGTGCAGGTCAGGTGAGTGGCCCGAGTGGGCAGGACACCCATGGGAGTCACAGGGACAGCGGCAGAGGGGAGCAGAGCCTGGGGTCCGCGGTCTCGAGGGGGTACAGTTTGGGCCATTGCAGCCTGGAGAGACCTGCAGGAGTGCCCGCACTGTCACCGCCCCCAGGGTGAGCCTCCCACTGTCCGTCCTGGATCCCCCGCACCGGCACCGCATCCACCGGCGGAAGAGCTTTGATGCCTCTGATACGCTGGCGCTGCCACGGGTGAGGATGGGAATGGGGCTGCCCCCTGTCTGGCCCAGGTCCTCAGATGTGTCCTGAGGCCCAGAGAGGGCCAGGGACTGTCCTGGAGCCACACAGCGAGGCTGGGCTCAGGGACCCCAGTCTCTGGAGTTCAGACGGGGCCACTCACATCACCTGTGCTGTACCTGTTTCCTGAGGGAGGCCAGGCTCCCCACCCACCCCCTGTCTGCCCATGAGCTGGCATAATGCAGAAGGGTCTGATTTCTCATGCTCTTGTGTGCTGTGTGCACAGTCCTCAGGGGGTTTATCTTATGGGGTCAAGCAACAGAGAGTGCAGTGGTGGTGGTTTAGTCCGATACTTGCGACCCCATGGGCTGTAGCCTGCCAGGCTCCTCTGTCCATGGGATTCTCCAGGCAAGAATACTGGAGTGGGTTGCCATTTCCTTCTCCAGAGAGTGCAGGTCCTGCTGTTATTCCAGTTTACAGATGAGGAGACTGAGGCAGAGGGGAGGTGCCTTGTCTGTGGTCAGCCAGGTAGAACTTGGGGTCTTATACTTCCACAATGCCTCCCCCATAGAGCCACCCTTTGGGTCTCCTGGGTAGGACAGGGGTCAGTGGGGAACCCACTCATTCCCAGTTGAGGCCGGGGATGCTGGGGTGGAAGCGAGGAGAAGGAGTACTGAGGAAAGTCAGTTTGCTCGTCTGTAAAATGGGTCCAGTGTACTGTCCTCAGGCTTATGGGGTGGGCGGGGGCCAGGTCAGTGAGTCAGTACTTGTCAGGGGCCTGGAGCAGAGCCTGGCACACAGGATGTGCCAGGTCCATCAGCGTCCATGGCCTTCCCTCTGCCCATCTGTAGTCTGGGTCCGCAGGATTAGGAAAGGGAGGCCTGGGGGAACTGTGGTGGACACAGACCTCTGCCCTGGGGGAGCCTCAGTCGTGGGGGGACACTGTGATTGTTTGGGGGGGGTCCCTTCACCTTCATGGGGGACACAGCCCTGTCTTAGAGGAGACTGCCAGTCCCGGAGGAGAGGTGCAGCCCCTCCCTGGGTTTGCCTGGTTAGTGGGGAGCCCCGCCCCCAGCCAGGCGCCTTAAACCCTTGCTCTCCACAGCACTGCCTGCTGGGCTGGGACATTATCCCTCCGAAGTCAGAGGAAAGCTCAGCCCCCAAGAGCCTGGACCTCTGGTCCAGTGTCTCCCCTGAGGCGCACCATCAGAAGCTATCAGCCACCGGCTCTCCTAACCTGGTACGTCCAGGGTGCCCTGGGAGGGGCAGACACCTTGGAGCAGCGTGGGGACTGCAGAGTCTCTGGGGGAGGGATTGGGGCTTGGGGGGTCAGAACCTGGAAGTCTCTCTCTGTGGGCTCCCATCTCCCTGGCCCTGACCCCCGGCACCTCTCCAGTCTCTATTGCTCCCCACTGGCTACCCCGCCGTGCCCTGGAAGCTGACCCCAACTCTGAGATCCAGAAGGGGATGAGGCTGGATGTGGGGGGACCCATCCCAAAGAGGCCACCTCTGACATCTTTCTCTTCATTCCCTAGGCTGTGCCAATGCGGGTTCCACTCCCCACCCCGATCTGGTCAGAGCCCTCCTCCGTGCCTCGGCCCCGCTCACCCCGGCCGAAGCCCTGAGGACTGGCCAGTTGGAGGTGAGCGGTGCTCCTGCCATCGTTTCAGCTTCTTCCCTCTGGCAGGGGTGCCCACGAGAGGGGAGACTTGCCCAGCCTTCGCTGGAGGTAGACTCAGGCCCCACCTTCCTTCCTAGGCTGGGCCAGTGGGTGGGCCCTGGCCTGTCTCCTTCCTGGGGACACAGAAGGGGACCCTGGGGTTGGGGTGAGGGGATTCTGTGACATGTTTGTAAGTAAAGCTCAGTGCTCCCTGCAGCCCCAGATTCCCACATGTGCTGGGTCTGTCCTGTCGATGCCCTCAGAGCCTTGGAAGTGCCCTGGCCTCAGCCTGGCCCTCCTCCTTTGGGGAAGGACGCCTCTTGACAGCATGCGCTGGGTGGGGTGGATCCAGCACTGAGTGTGGCTCTTTTGGGGGTGAGGGTCCCCAAAGCAGGCTGGGGTCAAGGTCAGCATTAAAAGGCCCCCTCAGCAAGGGGCTTGGGGTCTCAGGTCAGCCCCTGTAGATGAGGCTGAAGCTGTGACAGTGGGGAGTGAATGAGCCCTTCCCCTCTTGACCCCTGACACCAGGGTCCAGTGATAAAGGGATACTCTTAAAGTTCCTGGGTCCAGTGGCTCCTTTATTTCCATCTCAAGCCCAATCCTAGAAACCAGGGATGATTCAGAGCCCCAGCAGGGACACCTGGGGAAACAAAAGACCAGGAGGGTTCAAGTGCTCACCGCTACCCTCCTGAATTAGTAAGCAGCACCTGTCTTTCCCCCATATGTTGAATAACAGGAACTTTCTAATTTGTAGGATAAAAATGGAATAGCTGGGGAACCTAGGCCCAGGGAAGGCATGTGCTTTTTCTGAGGTTTCTAGCTTAGAGGGGTGGAACTAGGGCTGTGGTCTGTGGCTCCCACCTGGATCTTGTGAAGCTGAGAAAACCTTTCCCTGTCAGTCACAACACATGTATTAGGATAAGTGAGGTTATGCCACAGCAACAAATTAATTCCCAGATTACAGTGGTCTGACATACTTATTTCTTGCTGACTTGCTCATGCTACCTGTTCGTCATGGGTCACAATGGGGCCTCTATTTTGACATTGTCTTTGGGGGACCCAGGCCAATGGTGGCTCCACCGGTGGCTTCAGCCCAGAAATGACACAGGTCAGTTCTGCTTGTGGTACATTGGACAGAACTAGTCAAGTGGAGTCAGGACATGAAGGGGCGCATGGTATACTGGGTGAGTGTTACTGTCCTCCACCTCATGACTTCACCAGCTCTATCCCTGCAAGACAGACACACAGACCTCCCAGGCCACTGGCAACAATAACAGGCAATGCAAACTCTCACCTGAGTCTTCCCTCACTCCATCTGGAGTTCCAACCTCCAGTGCTTCCATAGACAGGCAGGTAAGGTGACTGGGAGTGGTGGGCACAGGGCTACCTGGCCAGCACATATCCCTTCCAGAGACTTTCAAGTCCAAATGCTTCTGTGATCATGCATACGTGTCTGTGGGCACTTTGAGCAGCAGGTCATGGTTTGCCACTTGATTCCAGTACCTGAAGAAACGAAGTCTCTCCCACACGTAATTTTTTTTAATCAATTTTTAAAAAATTTATTTTCAGTTGTATAAAACGTAACATAACAGGAACTTCCCTGGTGGTCCGTGTGTGTGTGCTAAGTCACTTCAGTTGCGTCTGACTTTGCGACCCCATGGACTGTAGCCCACCAGGCTCCTCTGTCCTTGGGAATTCTCCAGGCAAGAATACTGGAGTGGGTTGCCATGCCCTCCTCCAGGGGATCTTCCCAACCTGGGGGTCAAACCCGCATCTCTTATGTCTCTTGCATTGGCAGACAGGTTCTTTACCACTAGCGCCACATGGGAGGCCCCTCTGGTGGTCTAGTGGATAAGAATCTACCTGTTAATACCGGGGTCATTGTTCAGTCCCTGCTCCTGGAAGATTCCACATGCCTTGGAGCAATTAAATCCATGTACCACAACTACTGAGCCTATACTTTAGAGCCTGGGAGCTGCAACTACTGAAGCTGGCCCACCATAGGGCCCACGCCATGCAACAAGAGAAGTCACTGCAAGGAGGAGCCTGAGCACCACAACAAAGAGCAGCCCCCACTTGCCACAACTAGGGAAAGCTGCGTGCAGCAACAAAAATCTACTGCAGCCAAAAAAACCCAAAACACAGATTACCACTTTTATATGTGCAATTCAGTGGCCCTAACGTCCATTTACATTTTTGCAACTTTCAGCACCAACCATCCCCAGAATTTTTTTCTTCTTGCAAAACCAGAAAGAGAAAGCAAAAGTGTTAGTCGCTTAGTTGTGTCTGACTCTTTGTGACCCCATGGATTGTAGCCCGCCAGGCTCCTCTGTACATGGAATTCTCCAGGCAAGAATACTGGAGTGGGGTGCCATTCCCTTCTCCAGGGGATTTTCCTGACCCAGGGAATGAACCCAGGTCTCCTGCACTGCAGGCAGATTCTCTATCATCTGAGCAGAGCTCCAATTAAACACCCATTCTCCATCCCCACCTGCCAGCTTCTGGCAACCATCATTCTTTTGCATCTCTGTGAATTGACTAGGTTACCTCATCCAAGTGGAATCATGCAGTATTTGTCTTTTTGTTCCTTTTCTGGCTTCTTTGATTTAGCATGATGTTCTTGAGGTTTATGTTGTAAAGTGTCAGAATTTCCTGCCTTTTTTAAGACTGCAAAGTATTTCGTTGTATGGATGGACCACATCTTGTTTATCCATCCATCTACTGATGTACCTTTGAGTCACTTCCACCTTTTGTTATTGTATATAATGCTGTTGTGAACATGAGTGTGCAAATGTCTCTCTGAATCCCTGCTTTCAATTCTTTAGGGTATAAACCTAGAAGAGGAATTGCTGGATCGTAGGATCATTATGTGTTTAATCTTTTGAGGACCTGCTATACTGTTTTCAGAGGAGCTGCTACACCATTTTTCATTCCCACTGGCAGTGCATAAGGGTTCCAGTTTCTCCACATCCTCACTAACTGTTATTTTCTGCCTTTTTTTTTTTTTATAATAGCCATCCCAATGGGTGTGACGTATCTTGTTTATTGTAGTTTTGATCGCATTTCCCTGATGATGGTTAGTGATGGTGAGCTTAGAGGCCATTTGTCTATCTTATTTGGAGAAATGCCTATTTAAGTCCTTTGCCCAGTTTTGAGTTGGATTGGTTTTTTTGTTGTTCTTGTTTTCCCACATGTGATTTTAATTCAAGAAAGCCTGTGGGACTTCCATGGTGGTGGAGAATCCGCTTTGGTCGTGGAACTAAGATCCCACATGCCAAGGGCTAACCAAGCCCAACAACTGCAACTGCTGAGCCCGAAGGGTGCAATGAAAAGATTCTGCATGATGCAATAAAGATCCTGTGTGCCACAACTAAGACCCAACGCAGCCAAATAAATAAGCAAATCATAATTTTAAAAAAAATTAAGCACGCACTTAGACATATATGCCACCTGGTGAAACCCAGAGTTAGACATTAGAGTGAGGCAAGTAAGATACTCATCTGGTGCAAAAGTAAGAAAGGGCCAGAAAATTCAGTAATCAAAATAAATCATATTTAAAAAGAATAGAGAGCCTGTGGGAGTCAGTGGTTTTGTTAGAAATACTTTGGCTGGAGGGAGAAGAGAATCTGGAAACCTTCTGTCAAACAAAATGACAACATAGACAGCTGAGATCACCTTCTAAGTTTAGCCAACCCAGAAGAGCAACAGCTTGAATGAGATAGAAGTATTTCTCTCCCATAAAAGTCCAGACTGCAGTGCTAGGCCATTAAGTCATCAGGGCCAGTGGTTTCTCTGGAAGGACCATTCCTTTGAACATTTAGAAGGTTTCAGGCTTCTGTCTTGCCCACGAAGCCGCTCCAGATCAACTCTGAATGAGCAGGCTGGGGAACAGGCTTTTTCAAACCTGAGGGACCCCAAAGATGAAGATCACAGGGAGAGAAGCCCTGCACAGAGCATCACGTCTCCAACTCTGCCTCACTCACCTGCACCCCACCACAGTCACTTCTGTCCTCCCAGGAACAGGCAAGCCATTCCTGATTCTTCCAGGCTGTCCCTCCCTCCCTAGGGGATGTCCAGATCCCTTCTTGTCCCCCTTCCTCCACCCCTGCCAGGTGTGCATCTCAGCTGGAGAGTCTCTTCTTTCACGAGGGCCTTCCCTGAACCCCCGGACCCCCAGATGCATCCGCCCCATCACACACTGCGCTTCCCTGTACTCCTCCATCCCAGCCCTTGTGTGTTTTCCTTTTTTTAATTTTTTTTGGCCATGCCGTGATGTACAGCATGCAGGATTTTAGTTCCCCGACTGGGGATCGAAGTCATGCCCCCTGCCATGGAAGCATGGAGTCCTAACCCCTGGACTGCCAAGGAAGTCCCCTTTATATGTTATTAAATTACTACCCATGAGGTTCATTGCTTCAGTGTCTCCCTCTCCCCTGCTAGAATTTAAGCAGAGGTGGTATTTTCCTCTTAGTTGGAACTTTTTTTTTCCTCCTGTTTTCTCAAAGCTAGTGACTAAACTGTATTTCAGGACCTGGCTTTTCCCTCTAGCCTGATCTCCCATTTACATCATGAAGGTGACGGGAGAGGAGAGGAGTTGTGTACTCAGTTGTGTCTGATTCTTTGTGACCCTATGGACTGTAGCTGCCAGGATCCTCTGTCCATGGGATTTCCCAGGCAGGGGTACTGGAGTGGGTTTCCATTTCCTTCTCCAGGGGATCTTCCTGACCCAGGAATCAAACCTAGGTGTCCTGGATTGGCAGGCGGATTCTTTACCACTGAACCACATGGAAAGTCCCTAAAGGCAATGGGAAGGATGCTTTCATTTCTCCAAACCAAAGGACTCTTGTGGTTGGACACCTTACATGCTTAATAATAGTGTCATTGTTTGTTGGCATAAATCCCAAAGGAAAAAAGCAAGATCATCTTTTCTGTTGTTGTTTAGTTGCTCAGTCATGTCCAACTCTT